ATGTTTTTACACTCAATATATTTGATCGCAAATTCGACCACATCATTTCTGAAGCACTAACCGACACACAAGCTTACGAAAGTTTTAAAGAAAGATTTCAATTATTTTCACTAACCTTTCATTTCCTTGCACCACATGAACGAGATTTGCACTGCTCACATGACATTATGTTACGCACTAAACAAACCCACACATATACATATTACCGCTTTATACAAAATCACTTTGACCTACACACTCCATCAAGACAACCACACCATCATTTTTAATTTATTAACTCTAAATACACATCACCATTTTTTCTTAACTTCACATATTGCATCAAAGATACTAACCTTCACGGTATTCTTCGCAATTATGATCCCATAACCCAAATGTATAATTTTTGTCCCATCACAAAGACCTTCAACGCAAAAGAATCCAGACCCTTCCTTATCCCACATGAATTTGTTCAACCTATAGAAATCTCCATATTAGAATTCATCCACAACACTAAATATAACCACAAATTATATAACCTCATCCAAAACACACCTTATGATTTTGCAGTTGGCACTGGAGAACTAAAAACCATTAAAGCACTTCAATTGCTTTGGCCACTGCTTCAAACTAAAAACATCATTCGCATACTAGCAAAGTTACTAACAAATTCCGACATAATCCACGACATCTTCCCCCACGGTTTTTTCCCCGACGACTAACAGGTAAGTATAATTTATACATATACTAATAAATTTAAAAATAAAACACTAACCATTCTTTATCCATGTTTTATTTAGATTTTTAGTCTTCATCTCACGATCATCTGCAAAATACACAAAAGAAAAATAAAAAATAGAAAACTTCTTCAAATTGTCCCAAACTCTAATAATCTTTTGCACCAGCTAAATTAAATAAAATTCATACAAATGTAATAAATTAATTTATAAATTATTTCCCTAAAAGCAGTAATTCTAATAATGATGAAAATTTGTAACTTAATTTTTCCCCAAAACAAGCAATAAAATTGAAATTCTATGTAGTAAATTAATAAAACGCAAATGCAGTACTAACCTTTTGATATTTTCATTCACTCGCACAAGAATTCTATCCAAACTCGCACAGCTCGCCCACGAAGAATTGTTTAAATAATGAATTTTAGTTTCAAGCTTTCACACTCAACAACTCTAACACACGATAACAAATTTCAAACTTTCCTTTAACCCGGTTGGAAAGGAATTATATACTAAACAAAACTAACCAATGCAGCTTACTAAACACCACAACACATAGAATAACAGCATGACTAAGAAAAGGAAACCAACGGTACCCAAACCGGATTAACCCAGTTTAAAACTGGATAATTTATTCTTTTGAAGACTATTATAAAGTCTAAGAAAGAAATAATAAAACACAAAAAAGTCGAAAGACAAACCCATACCAAAAACAATTTGATTTTTGAAAAAAGGACACAACCAACGAAACATAAGAAAAACCGCAATAAACCCAACATAAAACGTTATCACATAACAGGACCTCTCACAGAAACCGCACGAAATCATACTCCCACTCCTGGCCTAACCCACCAGAGAGGACGTCCTGAGCATGCTCTATAGCCGGCCTAACCCACCGCGCTACATCCACGCTTTGTGACCACACTCCTATTTTTAATAAGAGGTACTCAAGGGTGAGTAACTCTTCAAAATAACTGAACTAAAACAGAAAGCTTTTGTGAAAACAACTAACCAAAATCATAACTAAAACACTAAACTAATAAAAATTTTAAAAAATGTAAATTATATCTTGCAGTATATAGATCAGCATACAACACCAAAGACGAACATCCAAAGACAAAATGACCCCACTACACTCGAAAAAGAATGGCCAACCACAATCAATATGCCGCCCACAATCACAACTCAAAGGATTTAGAGTACGACTTGACTTCACAGAAAAGGACTTCATTGAACTAGAACAATGACCACCTCGATGTTCAAGTATACGTACAGATCCGAGTAACCAGGCATCCCCTCCACGCACAACCTCCACGCCATTCCCAGACAAGGTCAAACACAAAGAAGTTCTCTACATGAAACGAAAAAACCTGTCATAGCCAACCATTCTGAAATCAGATTTGAGTTTGTTGCGAAAACCCAGTCGTTGTCATGAGAAGACACAACGATTGAATCTGGAACTTCTCTAACAAGAGAACCCAGACGAAATATGATGTTCACCAAATACCAACGTCCATCATCCATCTTTTGAATTGCAGAAAGACTATTCTAAAAAACTCTGTAAAACCCGGATGGGTGGAACCTGATCTAAACTACATTTTATGATTGGATAAATTAGATATTTTACCACTGTAAAGTATTTAATATTAACCAATCATGATCCATCTAACTAACAACCCACTTATTTGTAAGTGCTGGAATTACTTGTAATTTCAGCACCAGAGAGATTTGAATTTAACTTAGAAATTAGTTGACTCTCCAAGAAGACTTCAGCAGCCGCAATAAACCAGTATACCCTAGATCTATTGAGCCTAGCAGAGACTAGTTAAACACCCTGAGACTAGATAGTATAAGAGTAAGATTAGGATCGGTATTAGACTAAGAAGTTGCACGAATCTATCCGGCCGAAAATAAGATAGCGTGACGAGCAGACGGTGTACCCTATCCGAAATTACTCTATGAGTTAACCACCTCGGTTCAAACTCAAATTGATCAAAATGAATCCTACCAACCATTTGTATGTTCAATGCTAGACCACGGCTAGCAGTCTACACTCTATGGACTATAATCATATCTCACAGTGCACAGCCGAAAGCTGCTCACGTCTACATGCACTCAAAAAACTTAAATAACTGTCAAAATGAATGTGAACAATTCATGGAAAAAAATTGCCCATTGAACCAAATTGGCGTGTTCTATTTAGATCTAATTTGCGGATCTAGCACTTCATCTCAAAAGCCGTTTTTGAACAATTTTTTATGAGGTTTTGACATGAGAATGCTCCATAAAAAACCAAAAAAGGTAGATTTGAAAAACTCGATATCTCGAGGAGGGGAGGGGATGGGAGGGGCGCCGTTATCACGACACACCACCCAAACATTCTAGTCGGCATTGAATTAAGGATTGTTTGACTCTACCGAAAGCTGATTAAAAATTTAATCCGACCTTGTTTTTGTCGATAGCGCTTGACATCCCGGGTTGATCAAAACAGCTAATCCATATGTAGAAAAATGCTACTCTTAAGAGTTCTATGCAACTTTGTTAGCATAGAAAATTGCACGAAAGATGTGAGATTAGTATTTTTCCATATATGGAAATTGTATGACTAGCATTTTTCCGTAACTTATATTGTGTTACTTTTTCTATTTTTTTTCAAATTTTTGGGTTTGTAACCTGACACAACCCGCTATGCAGTTCCCTGGATAATCAGTAATTATAAAAAAAAATTATCGGCTATCTGCCAAAAATTCTAAAATAACCGATCATAAGGTATTAGTAATCGATTATAAACCAATCAAAATAGAAATAAATTGAAACCAACATAATAAAATATAATGTGCTTTCCAAAATACTCCCGAATGGTTTTAAAACTTGAGCTACATTTGGCTTGTAAATAATGTTGTATTGTTTTCTTCTTGTTTTCTTCATAATATTTTTTCACTGTTTTTTAATTGGGTGTCTCTTTGCCCCTTCGCACTTTATTGGAATTTTCTTGAGTCAACCAGACCACATGCTTAGCTCGTGGGTCAATCATTTAAGTTAACAAAAGCGTATATATCTAGCACTCATTCGGTTTGACCTACTTGCAAGAACTCACTTTGCAAGTTGCAGATCTAGCGTAATTTGAACCAGCAATCAAGACCTCGCATGCCACCATTGATGAAAAAATTTTCTGAAAAATGGATTAGAATGGAGTGTATTGGATGGCGTGATCCTAAAGTGTAATTATAATCAATTATGATGACAACATTTTTGACGCTTATATTCCAATATTATCCGTGGAGCCTCAATGCAGGAGGCGACGAAAAGCCTAAAGGTTAAACGGCCATGCTTGTACAAAACATTGAAACAAACCGCTGTGTAGATATATGTATACTCAATCATTATAAGGCAAACGCAATTTTTGAATTTCTAATTCATTGTTCAGGATATATAAAAATATGCAAAACAAAAGAAATAGGCTTTTTGAGATTTTTTGAAAAATTTGTAGAGAGAAACGGAAAAGTTATGCAGCTTTTGTTAATCCAGGACAACGTTATTTACAAAAAGTGAGTTTTGCCTGTAAACGTTTTTGGGAAACGTGTGTTTGAGTGTTAGTTTTGCGCTCGAAAAAATTTTTTAAAAAGTGCTTGGGCACTTTCAAAACTGTACTCACTATAATGTTTGATCTACAAGTCTACAAATTTTCAATAACCAAGGACTGCAAAACAGATATTTTGGTGCTAGCATTTTTATGGCTAGCATTTTTTCAAGGACTTAGAGCATGGAATTGTTAGTTTTTTACGACCTCAATTTCGGCAAATAAAGGCTAACTAATTCTAAAGGCGCCTTTGGCAGTTATTTTTAGGGGAAGCGCGCGCAAAAAAAAATTTGGTCTAAAAACTTCAAAAAGTGCTCACAAATATCTTTTTTGAATTTTTTCGAGCAAAAATTCACTTGCCACACAGAAAATTTTGGCAGAACAGTTAGAGTCATTTTGACATTTTGGAGTTTTGAGGAGGTCATAAAATTAAATTAACTGATCATAAAGTCAACAAAAACTTCGAATTTTTTTGAAACACTCCGCGAAAATCAAAGTCGTGAAAAATCCTTAGTCGTGTGTTACTGTATTTAAACTCTATTGATAAATGACTCGAGTAAAACGAGATGACGTGATTTTTAGTGACGGTAATTTTTCATTGAGTTTTATGGCCATTGATCTTAATGATTGTAACGAAAATTTCAAACACACGTTTAACTTTTTGGTAAACAATTCTTTTTTTACACATCTGATTTATGATTGATAGCTTTGTTTAATTTATTGAATTAACTCTGATTTATTTAATATCTAGCTTTTAAAAAAGTTCTATAGTGTAGTTAATAGCGCTATTGAAATTGTCAAAATTGTTGCGATATGGAATCAAGCGAAAAAATTACCAGGAAACTCTTAAGTTATCTTTCGGATGCCAGTGTTCAAAGTTTAACCAAACTGCGGCGACACATTGCAAATCAACCGGATTCAGTTATAAGTTCATTCGCTGCAAATGGCGGATGCGAGAAGATCTTTTCAGTCCTTTCAAAACATTCAACTTCATCAGAAAACGTGATTAAGATAGAAGACGATGCTGTTCAGTCTGCAGTCGAGTGTCTGAGGATTCTCAAAGCCATGATGCGATGTGACTCTGGCTTAGACTACATTTCAAATTCACAAAACAGCCAAGATCTTTTTTCCCTGAGTATGAATTTGTTTCAGAAAATGTTACCTTCTTAAATTACCAGTAAATTTTCAAACGGTTTATGGTAGTTTTTTTTCAATACTGTTTTTCTGACTAGCATGTTTTGGAATACACAGACACCGAGTGAAAAACTGGTAGAAATATCTAATTACAAAGGATCAACGTTTTAATACAGCCGAGCTAGGTTTGTCTTTTTTTTCGGGTGCATTAGTAAAAATGAGAATTTCATAAGCATTTTGCAACAAAGCCCGCAAAATGTTACTGAGATCCGAAGTTTTCCCCTCAACGTATTTTTTGATATGAACAGCCTGACTACCCCTTCGATTTCTTCGGGATCGTTGGGACCATGTTCGGATTTGCGGGAACCATTGGCTTGTATTTGTATCAATAGTCTGACTATGTTGCACTGATTTAAGGATTACACGGGTAGAGGCCGTGGTTTCTTTTTCCCTGTCAGCGGGTATCAAAGCTTGGTAGGTTCAGACAGTGGGGAAGAAATTTTAATATTATCAGAACCAAGTGACTAAATTAATCAGGGTTTGACCCGGAGAAAATCACGGCGGTATGTTTGGGAGTGCAGGGATATCGCTTTTAACCTAAAAGTAGCGAGTCAGGTTACCGTGCTTGAGAAAACTTCCAACTTCTGTTTTCAGTGCTGGGCTCGTGGCAGGATCCTTCTGTACTTAGACATCTGTATGGGTTGCTGTCTGTTATTGCAGTGCACTCTGTTTCCGGTTACAGCTGCACTCTGCAAGCATTGCAGCTCCACCAGGTATATTAAATGGCAACAAAGGAATCAGTTTGTCAAAATTGTTCAATTACCTTGTAAATTTTAATTTTGAAGCAATCTAAAGCATTAGTTTTGTCCAAAAATTAGTTTTGCATGCATACGCTTTCTGTAACACAGTTGATCTGCAACTGTCAAATGTATTTGTGGCACAGCAATGGTTGATTTTCAAATCTTTGGTTGAGTTTCATGTGATCACGTGAAAAATGAGAGGCCCTGAGAATGAAATGGAGGGACATTACATGCAAGTTTTTTAAATGTCGTTCAAAACCCGGCTGAAAGGGTTTTAATAAGTTGTATCATTCGACCGATTTGTTGTGGTAACTAATTTTGCTCGAAAAACTAAAAACAAACAAATTTTTCAAATAGTCGGAAGAACAAAAAATGGGGATTTAAGGGAAAATTTTACAAAATCAGTTGCGCCCACAATAATTTGAAAGCGTTGACCCGGGTTGACGTCACAGAGCAAATCATTTATTACAACCGCTTATAGAAAAAGTACAGTATTATAGATCATAGAAAGAAAGCTTCTCAGGGGGCCAATATCATAGGCGAAGGACTAAACGGGCAAAGGATAAAAATCAAAAACAATAAAAAGTAATTTACTAATATGAATTAATTGCCGTTCAACTAAAAGAAATTAAATGAAACAAAATTTTGCTTCTTTTTTAACACACCTTTGAAAATATAAAATTTGCTCCAATTCGCAGGCGGTCAGTAACAATTTAAACTTTTTGCTTATTTTCACCGTTTTCATAATAGGCAAATATCAATACTAAGTCCCTGAAAATGTTTACTTTAGTTAAGAATTTCACATTTTTTTCCATATTTGGAATACTGCAATCTGATTGGCCGATTTATATTTTCGCCCATTCGGTCTTTCGCCTTTGAGGGATTCCATCCTCTGAGAGTATATGTTCATAACAGTGAAGGTATTAAAGTTTTGCGAATTTTGAATCATCGACAAGCAACTGTTTTTTACATCACATTTTCAGAGTAAAATCAGAGAAAACATCAGAGAAATGTAGTTACTCGCATAGATATTTATTTAAATTTTTTTCAATTATAAACTTACTAGAGTTGCTAAAATTTGGTCCGGCAGCCAAAAAAGGATATCTGAAATGATTACAAAAGTGGGACCCTTTGGGTCCGCACTCCCCCGAAATCCGCTGGTGACCATAATCCTAATTTTTAGTGCGATCAGTCACTCGCAAAAAGTCGACCAATTAAGTCCAATTTTTAGCCTTAGATTTGGACAGTTGGGCCGTTCAAAATTAGATCCCAAAACTGCACCTGGTTTTCTTAGAATTTTGTACTCATTTATCCCCTCTTTTCACTAAAAAGTGATCTGATTCTGTCTGTTTTGCTTCAATTGCGCTCATTCAGTTGGCATCATGGAAAAAAAATAAACCTCAGAAGAGATCAACTTCGGCGCGGGTACTGGCTCAAGGGGTATGAAAACTGATCTGAGCAAGTATATCTTTAAAACTTAGAAGAATTTGAGAGTCAAATACATTTTGATGTATTTAGGAGAACGACAACCTGAAGAGCAAGTTCGAGAATGTTGTTGGGAGAGATCTAGGCAACCTGTCGAAGAGTTGGAACATCCATTCAACTCTACCCTTACAAACAGCTTCTTTAACTCTCCTCAACTGTTTCATTCTGTCCACCGATAGTATTTGGGACAGACTGCAAATTAGGAACGAAATAGAAAGTAAGTTCGGGCAGGGGTTGGCAAAAATTGTGTGACAAGCTTTTTTACATAAATGAAAATCGATATTTTATTATATAAATTTTTGAGAGTAATGAATGTAGTGAAGATTCTTATATAGGTCTTGCTGATTTTTTTTTGTTTTTTTGTTTTTTTTAGGGAAAAGTCTCAAAATGCTCTGATAATTTCCAATGCGCATTCATATATATTATTGCATTTATGAATGCATTAAGGTCAATATGCACTTTTTGAATTCAATTGAAATTCATCTGCTGAAAGTTACCTAAATAGGAATCTCCTCGTAGAAGCGTTGCAAGAAACGTGAGCAATTTCTATTTTCAAAAGTGGAATTTAATTTTTAGATTTCCAGCGGAAAAAAAATTTACCTATTGATCCAGTTTTCTCAAATTGGAATAGTACCATTAAATATGCGCCCTTCATAAATTGTTCTAGAAACTCAATGAGCTTAAAAAGCATCTATTTTGGACGTGGAAATTCGAAAGTTGAGATTTTTTGAACAATATCAGTGTTTTTTTCTGTTTACTTGTGTTCATTACTCTTTTCAACTGTTAATGGCTATGTTATAAAATTTTGAGTTTCCGTGTTTTGTTCGAAAAACACCATAACTATTTTTTTTCTCATGAAAAATCAATCAGCAACTTAAGTGGCAAGAATTGCACCACAAATTTTACTGAAAATTTTGACAATTGAGTTAATTATATGCTTTTCACAGCGATAAAACAAAAAAGCTAATTTTTTGTATGGTGATAGAAAACATTTTTTGAAAAATGTATAAAACTGCAATTGGTGACATGTTTTTCTACTTAAATGGCAGATTGCAGTTCAATTTAGCATAAAATTAAAGAAAAAAAAGAAAAAAAATAAAATTTGTGTTTGCACACAGAAAAATGTTTGTATTTTGGGTGAAAATATGTGGTTAGACTACGTTATACACAACAAAATGCAATGTGCAGGCAATTGATTTGGAAAACTACAAATTATTCCTCAGTTTTTGATTTTTTGTAGTCAGGTAGAAAATTGACTATCAACGTATGTTCTCTAATAAGGAAAGTCGAAATTGCGCAATTTAAAATGAATGACTTTTAGTTTCGAACGTGAACGTTAATTTCAGATTAAACCGGTTTTTTGAATTGTGTCAGTTGTAACAAAAAGTTGTAATTTAGTTTTGACTTTCAAACATTTTTAAGGCCATAAATGTTTCCGATGAAATTTTCAAGTTATAGAATTTCCGGTTTCCTTCAGTTCGTTAAAATTTTTCAAACTGTCTGTTGGTTGTGTTGTTCGATGATTTTAAACGGCGAATGATTAGGTGAAAAAACGGACGAAAGAGTAGCCTAAGTCATCTAAACGTTATAGTACAAATTATAAAAACACCTCTTATAAACGTTGTAGTGATATTTCAGTCAGCCTTTTTTCAAACTCCTCTCAGCATTTATCGGATTAAGTCTGAAAAAAATCAAATGATCAGATAAACTTTAATTGGCACTGAAGCAGATATTTTTGAGAATCCGGAGGATGGCTAAACTGGCTTCAGTATCATACCGTTTTTTTACTCCTACAAATTTTTATGCAGTCAGTTTTGGCTGAAAAACACAGAAACTATGACATAATGCTTTGATGTGGTTGGAACAAAATATTTGTGCTGGTAAGAAGAAAATAAAACATTACTAAATGCATCTAAAAACTGATTTCTTGCTATACGCGTAGAGATTGAGTAACAGCATGATATTTAACGTTTTAGATTATCTAGACTTTCATTTTGAAAATTTAATTGAGTTTTTTAGTCAATGCCACCAAGGCCCTGCCGTAGTAACCCATTCTGTGTCGCGTAAAAGTTTCTCAAATGCTTGAATATAGACAAAAAATAGTTTGTTTGCAGAAATTGATCCAAAAGGGATCGTCTTCCTCATTTTTCTCGATCGTTAAACACTGAGACTATCTTTTCTCAGTCTATTGAAATGATTTTTGACTATCTCAATCAAAATCAGATATGCTGACCTACATTCACCAAAAACTCATACAATTCTATGCAATTTGTTTATCGAAAACTGTAAGTTATACAATTCCCATACTGTAGGACTTGTAGAACCAGCGTTTTTGGATGAACAAAAAGATTTCAATGAGGTTAAAAGTTAAAGGCCTCAAAACAATTTCATCTTTTCGCAAAATCAATTCTGTACTCAAACAAGTTTTTTTTTAAGAAGAAAACAAAATCTAAAATATATCTTTTCTGTCTATAGCATTGCTTAGTGCTCAAATATTTGCAGAAAAACAAACACTTTAAATAAAATTGGTTGTTTAATTTAAGTAAAAACCTATTTTAGTGGATAAGTACCAGACGCTTGGTCAAATGGAAAGTTGTGCAATTTTAAGATCGGTGACAAAAACTACTGCTCAATTTCGTCGCGCAAACTGTCAAAAGTTGAGATATTTTTGCTTCAAAGCTAGTTTTCCCTTCTTTGCTTAATCTGAGAAAGCAACTTTTCTATGAGATGACAAGTGTTGTACTAACATCTGGATTTTTATTCAGCAGTGTTCCTGTGTTTCAAGAAAAGACAAAGACAAAGATTAGAAATGAATGTAAGAGACAAAAAATCTGCACAGTTGCAGTTTATGGAAAATACTAGTCATACAATTCCACACGATGAAATATGCTTTTCAAACAATTCTAGTATATGAAAAACGCTTTTCATTGAAGTTCAAACTGTTTTTCAAATGCCTGGAATGATTTGAAAAGCGGATGAAAACTGTTTGATCACCTTTTTCGTCAACATAGGCATATTTGTTCCTCCGACAACCTCCTTGGTTGGGCAAGACTTCAGGACTTAGAATATTTTTACTGAGGCGTTCATGATTGAATTGTCATGTCTGAGCCGATTTTATGTCTTTTAGTTGTGACTTTTATTCCAAATGCCATTTGCAAAATCAACGTTTTCAGAGCAATTTAGTGAGAAAAATATCAATAAAAAGTTAGAAAAAGCAACATAGAGCTTTTAGTTTTTGCTGCAGTTTATTTCTCTAATGCTGATTGTGAAAAATTACTCGGATCAAACATTAGTACAAAAATTTCAATGAAAAGCGTACCTTATGCTTTTATTTCAATGTACTTATAATATCTGATCGGCGAATATAATGAGAAAATTGGTAAATAGTTTGTATATAAAATGTTAATAGCCTGTATGAAATCTGTATATAATCTGTATATAGTCTGTACATAATCTGTATATAATCTATATATAATATGTTTGTATTTTGTAGATAATCTGTAGTTTTTCTGTTTATAATCTGTATGCCATCTATATATAGTATGCATGCGATTTGATATATAAAAAACAGTTTCAGAGTGTTTTATTTATGATTATTTAATGAAGATAAGCTGAAATAAACTTTTGTAAAACAAAATGCATTATAATCGATTAGTGAAACTACATAATCGAAGTTCTACTATATGAAATTATAACATATCTGAAGTATGATTTTTGTTCATTTTTGTCACTGCGAGTTTTCTCATTAATTATCGTGTTCGATTTTCGAAATAATCTGTTCTTAACAACCACTAGTTTGTTCAAGTATTCACTTTTCTTTTTGTTTGAGTTAAATTGAAGATTTTTTAAAAACCAGACATGAAACTAATAGGTTGTTTAAAAAACAAAATAACGTTGTTTAACTCAGCTTTTGGAATCTTCTGTAACAAAAAAAAACAGTAATTTTTTCAAAGCATAAAGTTCAACTTTGACCAAAAATTAAGCTCATCGAAACATTTTTTTTTTCAAATAAGTAACGTGCGTAATACAAATCGTCTGGGATATTGGTACAGAGTTACCTTTCAAGGTACTTTCGACTCTTTCTCAACTTTCATGTGATGGCAAATGTTTTTCGCGCAAGATACCTTTCTCGTAGGAAGATAAGTTTTGATAAATTTTATTATTTTTTGAATTGAATCGTCTGGGGGATTGTTTGCACAATGTGTTCGAATTGCAAAAAAAAAGATCAAGCGTTCCGCTGCCTTCAAATGTCTTAATTAATTTCCTGCAAATCGACCGGGGGTTTTTACCCTGCCGGATTTTTAACCCCTTTTTTGTATGTCGCGTTGAGGAGCCGAGTTTTTTGCGGCTTAAAATATTCGATCATTTTTGCAATTATGAGGCGTTGTATACTTGAACAACGCAAACAGACTAATTTGTTTAAGCACAAAGCGTACTATGTTTTATAACTTGAAAAAACTAATGGCAACAGCAAATCAAACATTATCCGTCCCAAATCTTATAGCTGAAAAAAGGAAACATTTGTATATTTTGGTTTTATTTAAGCTCCAATTACGCTTCCAGTGCACTACTCACTATCAGTTTGAAACCGACAAACAGATCAAATTTTTAGGGCGCACTTTGAAGAAATATGCAGCTAGAGTTCTTCTTATCTAAAAATAGGTTCACAAAAGTGAAAAGTATTTATCAAGCTGTATAAAGTAGCACTGCCAAAGTAATCATTATTTTGTGCGACGCTCCACCAAGTAAATGCAAATGGTTGACAATTTTCTGTCATCTTTTTGTCAAATTAACGTCAAAATTTACGTAGATTACGAAGAGCTGCTAAACAAAACATTTGAATAATTTCCCCAAAAAAATTGTTAGCGGAACTTAAAACTCAAATTGCTGTATTTTAATTGATTCCCAGTTTTTCACAACCCAGAGAAGTTTATCAGGCAAAAGTTTTCATTAAGCGTCCAATTATCTTTTTTTTACAATATTCGGTGTTAATTATTGACTGTTAAAAATTACCTTTGGGTGTTCATTTTAAACAAACATAAGTAGTTAAAGCTTGTTGAATTGAATCAGTTGTGTGGTTCAGATCTCGGCTTGATTGGAATTCTCCAAGATCTTCGGAACGTTCATCTGCAGTCAAACTACGGCGATGATTCGAGAAATAGCGAGATAACCACTCAAAGAGACGAACTTCTGATGCAAATCTCAGTGTACGAAGATCACTCAACACAGGATGCTGTTTTCGTCCAACAGACATTCGATTTTGATGTCAATGACCAGCAGATGCTTTTAAAAGAGATCAACAAAGCAGTAAGTTTTCAGAAACAGGTTTTTTCGCTTTGTGGTCAACATGTATAAACTTATTGCAAAAATAACAAAAATAACAAAAATGTTGGCCATATTGGTGACTTGAACTTCCTTATCGCTCAAAAGTGGCGAGTTTTAGGAACTTAAATTTTTTTGCCCTCTTACGTTTTTATGGGTAAAAATGGAACCCTGTATCAAATTGCCCAGTTTTAAGTTTTTTTTTGGTTGAGAATCGTTGAAGAATTCTCAATTGAAGTTCAGTACATCTGCGAGTGTGTTTTTTGAACAATGAAAAAGTTATTGCAACGCTACCCGCGCCGGAATTCCATGGATAGTAATCAGCACTTTGTCATTTTTGTAATCAGGATCCGTAAAGTTCTTAGCTGATCAATTATAATCGATTCAAAATGGTTAACAACTACTTAATGATGTTATGAAGCCCACTTTAAACTAATTATAATATTTTATAAGGGAGTTTAATTGTTTTTTTTTCTAAAATCGCTATCCACGCCGGATATCCATGGAACGCCGGAACGACGGAATTCTATGAAAGTTATTTCAACGCTACCCGTGCCAGAATTCCATAGATAGTAACCATTATTTTGTCATTTTTGTAATTAGGATCCGTAAAATTCTAAGCTATTCAATTATAATTGATTCAAAACTGATTACAACTAGTTAATGATGTTATGAAGACCATTTAATAGTGATTATAGTATATTAAAATGGAGTTTAATTGGTTTTTATACTAAAATAGCTACCCACGCCGAATATCCATGGAACCTCGGAACGCCGGAGTTCCATGGAAGTTATTGCAAAGCTACCCGCGCCGGAATTCCCTGGATAATAGTTATTAATTTGTCATTTTTGTAATCACGATTCGTAAAATTCTAGGCTATTCAATTATAATCGATACAAAATGGCTCACAACTATTCAATGATGTTATGAAGTCCATTTTAAATTGATTATAGTATATCATAATGGAGTTTAGTTAGTTTTTTTAAACTAAAATCGCTATCCACGCCGGATATCCATGGAACCTCGGAACGACGGAATTCCTTGAACGTTATTACAACGCTACCCGCGCCGGAATTCCATAGATATTAATCATTATTTTGTCATTTTTATAATCAGGATCCGTAAAACTCTAAGCTATTCAATTATAATTGATTCAAGTGGATTACGACTAGTTAATGATGTTATGAAGACCATTTTATATTGATTATAGTATATTATAATGGAGTTTAATTGTTTTTTTTCTAAAATTGCAACCCACGCCGGATATCCATGGAACGGCTGAATGACCGAACTCCATGAAAGTTATTGCAACGCTACCCGCGCCGGAACTCCAGGGTTAGTAATCGATTATTTTGTAATTTTTGTAATCAAGTTCCGTAAAACTCTGAGCTATTCAAATATAATCGGTTCAAAATGGGTTACAACTACTTATTGATGTTATAAAATCCATTTTATATTGACTATAGTATTTTATAATGGAGTTTGATTGGTGGTATTTGTTGTTGAGACGAAATGCTATTTTTTAGAGGTCAGACTTAATTGAGTCTGATCCGAGTTAAAGAGAAAAAACGATTGAAAACGGTCAAACTGGATTTTAGCCCATTGGGTTTACATGTATAAAGGTCAGGTATGGAGGGATTCGAACCCGGTTGACCAACGCGAGCGTCTGGTCTCTTGGCCGCACGACCATTAATTCTTCAAGTTTGATAACTTTCGTCCAATCATATAAAAGCACAAAATGCATATACAATCTTATTTCGTTTCGTTCATAATTAAGAGAAAATGAACGTGGTGAAGACTCTTATATAAGTCTTGCGGATTTTTTTGTTCTTTTATTCCAGAAAAAACTTTAAAATTTTGATGCACTTGGGTATAATGCACTTTTTGAGTTCAATTGAAATTCAACTGCTGAAAAAGATGTAAAAAGCAGTCTCCAAACGTAGAAATGGCGCGAACAAACGTGAATGGTTTCTAGTTTGAAAGTGGAATATATTTTTAAGACTTCCCAGCGTAATAAAATTTTATCTATCGATCCAGTTTTCCCAAGGTGGGTTCATGTTATCAAAAAAGCGCCAATCAAAAATTGTTCTAGAAATTCATAGAGCCTAGATAGCGTCTATTTTTTCTTTGAAAATCGATAGATTAGGTTTTTTCAAGAAATTCAGTGTTTTTTTCATGTTTACTTGCCTTTATTACTCATTTCCAATCTTCGATTGGCTATGTTTTACTTTTGCGCTGCAACAATTTTTTTGCATCAAACTCTGATTTTAATCTCTGATCACTCTGTACTGGAAAAAATCACAGCACCCGCAACAGTACTGATCATTTGCAATACCAAAACTTCCACTGATTAAGTTTTGTCATCTCATCCAAATTTGATCCCCCTATCATTTACACTAGATCTAATAATAGGCTACTTGAAAAGGAATTTGTATGAGGTTTTCGAGCTCTGTGTCTGTAAATGAAAATCAGTTGACTAATGACGGGTCATCTGCCGTGAGTTAGGCACTGTTGAAACTACTTGAGAAATCCAAGATGAACCAATAAAGATTTAATTGCAGAAAATGGACAAAACAAGTATCAGAAAAAATAATGAATTGTACAAAAAAGGATTGTTAAGTTTACTTTAAACACACTTCACAAGGCAAAAAATACACTTCATGAAACTTTAGAAAAATCAGATCCGCCTTCCACAATTTCATTACGAGGCCAAACTGTGCATTTTGTGCATTGTAAGCGGATTCCGCTATGGAACCTGATCTAAACTATATTTTATGATTGGATAAATTAAATGTTTTACCAATGTAAAGTATTTAATATTAACCAATCATGATCCATCTAACTAACAACCCACTTATTTGTAAGTGCTGAAGTTACTTGTAATTTCAGCACCAGAGAGATTTGAATTTAACTTAGAAATTAGTTGGACTCTCCCGAGCACTTCAGCAGCCGCAATAAACCAGTATACCCTAGATCTATTGAGCCTAGCAGAGACTAGTTAAACAACCTGAGACTAGATAGTATAAGAGTAAGATTAGGATCGGTATTAGACTAAGAAGTTGCACGAATCTATCCGGCCGAAAATAAGATAGCGTGACGAGCAGACGGTGTACCCTATCCGAAATTACTCTATGAGTTACACTCCAGTCCTAACTCATCTGGTGCGACCATAAGTCTCGAACAAGACCTTATTAGATTAGAATTAACCAAAATTAGATTAGAAATTAGACAAAAACATTTACAAAATGTTATACGACAATAATTTAATTGAAATGTCTCTCCGACTCAATAGATCCGAGCCAATATTCCGAACCATAATAGAACTACCCGGAATTGGAAGAAGACATCGAACCAAAGACGACATACGACAAAGTAGAAACTTGCCGTATAGTTACATGATAGTTCGGCAAAAGCCAGAACAAACTTTTATATTTCGAATACTACTTGCAATGAATTTAGATTTCCATTTGCAAACATAAAACCTTGAAGTAAATCTTCAAAATCATTTCAGGCGCTAAACAAAATTAATATTATACAATAACGATTGATAAAAAGATCTAAGATCGTTTTCCTAAAATTCTGCAGTATTATACAAAACATGTTTGAAAAATATTTATTGGAAAATAAAAATAAAAATTAGTAGCATGACAATAAATGGTTAGTAATCATAAATCATCCTGTTGTTCCAGCTTCATCACCTAAAACATAACAGCAATCATCAACTCACTAATATCATAAAATACTAAATCTTTCCTTTACACAAATTTAAAACCTCATTAAAACTTAAAGTCACTTAATTTTAAAACCAGATCATCAAGGCTTATCCTTGGATCTTAAATCATTTTCTACTTCATTACATTTTAAATTTGATCATCAAGGCTTATCCTTGGATCAAACAGAACAACTTTGTTCTCCCCCACCCACTTAATTAGTGTCTAACGACCTCAAACGTCGATTCACTACCCAACCCTTTCTAAAGACCCAAGACTAATAGAAATTTTTAAACAAAACTAATCATTCAAATTAGGATAAACAGTGAAGAACTTCGGTTATTCATCCTTCACTTGATCCCCCCTCTTACCAGACCCAGGATAAATCTTAGACTTAGTAAGTTTAAAATAGTATCTAACGAACTACTCGCGTTCTAATTATACCTGAACCTTGTGGATCGATTTACTATTCTCCAACCCTTGAACACAATCACTACCCCTAAGTAAGATTAAGTAAGTTAACACCTTAGCTTATACTAGTCACGAGAAAGTAAAAATCATTCTTCGGAATCGATATACTTTTCTCTCCAACCCTAAACAAATAGACCCAGGTTAAGCTAACCAAAAAATCGTAAGAACTAACAGTTTAGGAAAATAGAAATCATTTAACAACCTTTTGCACCCGTCATCCTAAACCTTATGTCATTTAAAAACCTAGGGAATAAACAAACAATCGTTTTACACAATTGTGAAATAGATAACAAAAAATACGACCTTGTAATCACACCTCATACACAAACAGTTGGATACATTCGAACAAAACGACAAACACTAAAGAGAAAAATAATCACTAAACAAAGACAAATAACACGAAAAAGATTTTCAAAAAATCGAAACGCATTTTCAGAATCAGAAACCAACAGTTTAGACGAACTCTACAAACTAAAAGAATCAATAGATAAAAATTACCCACAACACGATCAATTATATTTTTCTGACTCAGAAACAACTTCAAATTCATCACAAAGAGGAAAAAGAAGAATAAAAAAGCAGTATAAACACAAACCAGTACATCTATACAACTGGAATCAACCAATTCGACACATTAATAATTACATATTAACAGTCATCGAACGAAAAAATGAGTTCAACGCACACCCCAGGTGACGAAACTCCAGATGATGATGAAATCTTTCCTTTTATAGTAGATGCAGATACTGATAGAGGACAACACATATTTTGTCAAAATTTACTCGTAAATTTATTTGAACCCG